GAAATAATATTAAAAAATAATTCTATTAAACGTATCATATCATTGATAACAAATAACGTTATATAAATATTCATATAGTCAATCTCCAAATTCAATCATGAAAATAAGATTTTCTTTTTATACAATCAAAAATTACCTAACCTAGCTGATCTTTGTTACATCTATTCATCGAATAATATTAAAAAATAATTCTATTAAACGTATCATATCATTGATAACAAATGCTATAAATATTCAATCTCCAAATTCAATCGTGAAAATACAATTCTTCGCAAGATGCTAATATAACGTTAAATTAACCTAATTCTAAATCACAGATGTATACAAATGTGCTAATAGAAACATTTTATCTTTATCCATCGAGTAATAAAATACAAAAAAAAAAAGATAAAAGTGGTATTCAATAACGAAGTTTAGCCAATTTATACCTGTAATTGAAAATAAATGGAAATAAATTTTTCAGGTGCAATTCGTGTTAATCATGTGTCACCAGTTCCAGCTTCTTTTTATAGACTGCGATTATCCTCGTAGCTTTATGATTTGGATCGGTTTACACGGCGTGCTCTTTTTAGGTCTTTTTTCGGACTTTTACAAAGCGAAATATGTAGACAGAACGGAAAAATCAGCAAAGAACAGTGTACAAAATGGCTCGACTGGTCTTTGCATGCCTGTACTCGAGGATTCGGCGCCACGACAAAACGGTGTTTCGTCATATACGACGATCTACAATAAGGAATATAACAAGGAATACAACAGCTGTTACAGCAACGGAACAAATAACGGTTATGTCGCCAATAATAACACGGAGAAAAAGCTCGCTTAGGACATTCTGATTTTGGTAAAAGCTCTTAAACAACCGTCGAGATACCAAATCACACGATATACAGTATAATTACACGTTGCCGGCACATTGACGGTCGTACAGTGACTTTATACACAACATATATAAAACATGTCGAACGATTTTGATTCGAGTAGTGATTGCGCGCGACTCCGCCTGGATCCAATGTGGCCGATTCGCAAAGAAAAAAAAAAAAAAAAAAAAAATAAACTATATATTAGTTGTAATTCGCCGTGGAGTCTGTGTTCATGTTCACGTATAGAGTCGTCGACGAGAGAGAGAGACCTGTCGCGCATACGTTCGATTTTCCCGCTAACGCTTTAAATTATTTCATATTAAACTATATCAACGGGGTGGCGATTATGTTTATCGGAATAGTTTAACGGGGTTTATATAAGAATAATTATTGATAATATATTATTAATAAGGAAAGGGCTCTTTTACCCGTATTGTTGTGTACATGTATTAATTATAATATATATAATTCCATCCGCAACCGGATTGTGGATGATCCCGAAAGTCGTTGACTCGTCGATGGCTTTATGAACGGAAAGAAAAGAGCAAAAAAATGGAGCGACCGATGATGAACGACCGAGGAATGCGAAGAGACCAGAGAGAATAAACGGACAAAAATTAAAACGCGCACACGATGAGTATAAATTAATAATCGATCCTCATCGGAACATTATGTTTTCCGCACGCGATTGTCGAGAGTGTTTCATTGCGTGCGTTTATTGTATGCGTGAACGAGTGTGATCGTTTGTTAGTTGTACATTGATTACGAGGCATTTCTTATTGGGACGAATCGAAATGATCCCCCTTTACCATATTTCCTTATCGTCCGACTCTGTCTCTCTATTGCCCCGATTGTGTTCAAAGCTTTGGTGTTCGTCGTAGAAATAAGCGTCTGTCGATTCGCGTTTAAGAAGGAAAGAAATCGTATCGATCCTTCCTCTCTTGAAGCTTGATTCTTCTCCTCTATTATTATTGAAAGATCATCGATATCTCGGCAAAAATTATATATATCATATCTTGAGAACGTTCGGTTAGCTTTTTTTTATTATAGTCGTAATAAAGCCACGCAACATTTTCTTTTTTTAAATCAAAATATTCATGAATATTTAACATCAGCTGTTGACGTAGAATCAAGCTTCTGAAGAGTTTTAAAAAATTGTCGGCGAAATTTATCTCTTGTTCACCGATGAACTGGTCATATTGGTAAAAAGAAGGTCGAATGCCAATCGTTCGAATATACATATGTTATAAATGCATGGAGGGAAAGAGAAAACGTTTATCTAGGAATCATATGAAATCTCTTGTTAAGGTTACAAACTTTTGTACTCTTCCTATTACGGAAAGATGAAGGTTTTTATTTATGACCGCACAGAAATAAAAAAAAATCTGAGGAAAAAAACAATTCGATCCTATAAATTTAATGTTGTATATTTTTACAAGGAAATAGATCAATCGCATAATAAAAGAAACGTTGACGTTAATGGTGTCAAAGACGTGCTTTCTTGTGAAAGTATTCATATATGGAAATGTATTATTGCCAAGTTTTAATAACGTATTAGAAAAAATATTTGAGAAATGATTTATAATAAAAGAAGTAAAAAAAAAAGAAAAAAAAGAGAAACCAACGTCGACAAGACTGTTAATATTATAATCGTAAAACGTACATGCAAATATCATTTCAACATCTCGAAAAGACATTTTTTTCTCTTTACAAATTAGCTCTCGATGATATACGAATGCATTTCTTTAATCGACAAGGCTTTTGCTTTAGTCCTTTGTCACTCATTCCAAAATATAAGGAATTGATCTTCAAGTTACGATTTAGCAAATAATTTTATATATTTAACGCTCAAAATATTAATAACTGAACTTCTTTAACTGAATTCTTCCGTTTATATAAAATCCCTAATAATATCATTCTCAGCTATGGTTAAAATCAAATCATTTCTACCCAGTGATTATACATTTTCAATTATGCAATGTCGTGTCAACCAATATGAATTATGAAGGCATTTATTTAATTGTTTTTTTTTTTTTGTTTTTTTCTTTTTTTTATAATTCATTATGAATACTTGTAAAAATAACTTTAGCATAGAAAACAAAGCAATTTCGCACCTGTTAAAGTCTTGCAAAAAAATATCATACTGCGTGTTGGAAAATGTAAAGAAAAAGTAAAGAATTCTGTCGAACCGATTCGTGTCTGTCAATGAGGACAATAAGCCGCGTCGACATCGAGACACGATCATAGAACATTTTAACTCTCTATATAACACCACATAATTTGAAAATCACATATTTCATATTTATGTTTTTTAAATTTTGTTTATTTTGTTTATCACTTTACTAATATATCATCAGTTTATCATTATACCGACATTATATTGTTTATTTGTAATGATTATTTTTAAGTTTTAGATTAAATTTAAAAATTGTGATCGATCAGAACTCTTTTTTTTAAAATAAGTGAGAAAAATACTGTTTATAGAGGGTTAATAGAAGTTCATAAACATGCCATCAATGCATTTATACAAAAGTGTTCTATGGTTCGAAAAATCGATAATCCATTATGATCTATTAAGAATATTCTCCGTGTTCCTTTTCGATTCGATAAATACAGGAAAGGCTGCTCTTCATGTCAGTATACAAATTTCTTACATCAGGCGTGTGCGAGTAATACCTTTCTGCTTAATCTTTTCTAATGAAATTTTAATGATTTTTCTTACCCAATTTAACGACGAAGCTTTTCAAAAATCCTTTATGATCAAGATTTTTATAATTCATACCAAAAGTTTGTTTTATTCTTTTAACCAATGATTTTAATGTTTATTTTAACTTTGTATTCTTAATTTTATATCTAATGATATTTGAGCATGGAGAAAAAGTCATAGTTTGATTATTAAATCATTGATTATAAAATCTTTATTTCTGTTAAATCAATTGTCAAATGTAATGAATATCATCATTGAGATTAGTTTCTTAATATTTTTTTCTGTTTCTTTCTCTCTCTCTCTCTCTCTCTGTTTTCTATTCTTTTAATACAATGTTTTGCAAGTACAATACATACAAAATATATATATTTCTTATGTATCTATAAATGAATTAATTTTTCATTTTTATAAATGAAATTACAGAAGAATGAGAAAAAGGAAAGAAAACATCAAATTTCATATAGATTTAATCTTGGAGGATATTTGAGTTTTATATATAAGAAAAGAAAGAGATTACACGCGCATGAAAAAATATAATTCAAGATGGTCAATCATCTTTCACTTTCAAAAAAATAAAAAATATAAAAAAAAAAAAAAAAAGAAACGAAAAAGAAGAAAAAACAGAAAAAAGAAAAGAAAAAAGCTATTCAACTTCGTGAAGGTTGTCACAAGTCAAGATCACACAAAGCCGAGAAGGCAAGAGCATATACCATCGTCATGTATCACCTAATGTTACGAACTCTGTAATGATTACTGATTCTCATTATATTTTTGTACATAATTGGGGAGAATTACACGAGAATAAAGTGAATTTGAAACGAGCGAGTTGCCTTCAGCCATGAACACAGGGAAATCGGTGTCCGTTTATTTGATGTTCGAAACCCTTGAAAACGGTTCGCACTACTACTATCATTGCTATAAAATTGCTAAATAAATACATTTAAAAAAACGAATATGTCAGCAATCTACGAGTAGTTCGTACTGTTAATATCGATTAAGATTAATATGAAAAGATATTTAAATTTTAATACTTAACATTTACATTTACATTTTTTTCCTGTTCGCTTAAATAATATGTAATGACTTGTAACTTTTATTTTTTATTGGGGGTTAACCATTTCCATTTATTAAAATACAAAAAAAAAATTACGTACTATGGAATATGATTCTAACATTGAAATTTTCTATATATAATTTAAATATCGTTATAAATATACAAATAAATATACAATGTAGTGAAATTTGATATATATGAAGTTGTAATCAATTGTTAGAGTATTACTACACTATGGCAGAAAAATGGTAAAAAAGTTTGTTATTTTCAAGAAAAAAAAATTAAACGCGTGAAACGAAATCAAAATGTTAAAGATAGCAATTGAAATGGTAGGTTATGTTAATTTAAAATTTCTTTATGTCTTATTACGAAATAAATAGTTCGTATAACATAGATATTAGCATTACAAGTATTTCGGGTTAGGTTTAAAAATTTGGATTGAAAATTAATGTCGATTTTAATATCGATCTAATTTCGAGTTATCGATCTATATGTTATGATTGAACAGAACACGAAATATGTCGTTGCGGCGTCATACAGAGCGATATCGGAAAAAATTGTTTTAATTTGGACTATTTTTATTTTATCATATATGTGTTAATTGAACATAATTTGATATTCAATTTATATTTTTCAATTCAATTTATATTTTTTAAAGAATTAATATATTTTACGTGAGTAATAATTATTACTGATTTTTAATTTCGGTGTAACACAGAATGAATACATGGTGGTACAGTGATGTTAATTTTTACCAAAATCCAAATTTCATAGTCATCAATACTGTTACAATAACGGAAATATTGCTGTTCTACGATACACGTAAGTATATATTTGTTATTGTAAATTTTTGTAAATTTTAAAATAAGAATTAATATTTATTTTGATTTATAACTTTATTTATCAAAGACTGGACAAATAAATATATTGTTAAGAAATTTATAAGTATAGATTATACATGAAATTCATGTATGAAATGATGCGAAAAGAATCGTTTAGCTAATGATAAATCATAAAGAACAAACAAATCGCAGGCAACAGGTCCGTATCTCAAAAAATAAAATTGTAACAGAAATGAATTTCCAAAACAATATAAGAAATCATAGTAGTTTTTCTAAGATGTCTCTCGTGTTCATTCAGTTGGTCAATCGCGTCTTTATAAAACAGTTTTTATGTAATCAATCATTTTCTAAGAAAGAAAGTGTTCACGCCGCAACGAAAACAAAAGTATAATTCGTTACAATAAAATAAGATACTTGTATTAAAATGATAATCGAATTTTCTGTAATAATCATGATGCACACTCATTTGTAACAACTTTAAACATAAAATAGGAATCAAAATATTGAGATCATTATCGATCAATTTTCTTAATTACGTAATCACATAAAATTTCAAACTTTCTTTTGATCTCACTACGCACAAAGCATCGATGACAAACGCACTAATAATAATAAATTCATCCTGATTGTTTATATTCCATTCATATTGATATATTTTCTTTGTTATTCTTCAGTGAAACAAAAATTTCGGTATTTGTGGGTACCTCCAACCGATAGTTACGGACCTGTCGGCGGTTCTCAGTGCAACGACGATACTCATAGAACACTACAAGACGTCAAGGGAATTCGAGAAAGGTACGACGATTTCGCGGTATATGATGACGATGATATCGTACAGTCGTGAATACGCGGCATGAGATTACCGTGTAACGTACCGAGAAGGAGGAAGAATCATCGAGTAAGCTCGAGCATCTTCGCCGAGCCCCGCCCTGTATATATTTTTAACCGGATCCATCGAAAGTCTGGCCGGCGTGGCATACACTGTTCGTTCGGGCAAGTGAAGTTTCTATTGACGTGCAAAAAGAAAGAAAGGAGACAAAAAGGACGGAACACAGGATAGGATATATTCGAGCGACGCAACAAGTGAGGAAGTCTGTATCCCTTTCGTTCGGCCTGCACGCTACTGGTAAGTAACGTTCCTTTCGATCAGCTGATTATATTCAGTATACCGGTGTTTGAGGCACCATGATCTAAGCGTGCTCTCATCTCGTGGGATCGATGCTGCGCATCAACTTTGCGCATGAATCGAGCCCCTTCAGCGGGCAATCCATTGGACAATCTCGATGAAGTGGTTTAAATCGGTTAGGTGCACGTGCTTTGGCGCGCAGAGTTATATAAAAAGTATAAAATGTGTATAAAAGTGTATAAAAAATACATACATATTTAATTATGTATATATATATATTTACGTATGATATGAAATCGAATAATACATCAATAATAAAAGAATAACATCAAGAATGTTTTGCACATAAATTAATATATTGTATGGAAAAATCCTAATGATATCTTTATTAAAATTTTTGATAATTAACATTTTAAAATATCCTTGATTGTTTGATACGGTGAACTTTATAATTCTACGAATTGATTAACCTATAAAGTCGTGATGTTTTTTTAAAATTTTTCTATCATGTATGATATACGATACCTAATGTTTTAATTATATTTGAAAAAAATTCATTATGTATTTCCGTTACAAAATGAATTATGTATTTGCTGAAATCAGTAAAGATTGTTGCAAGAAACCTTTGTGGAGACTCCATGATGTTGCCTCGAGTATATGTATGTTGTAAATCGTTAGGAAAATCGAAAGGGGGAAAGTCGATAAGGAGTAGAACGGTATTGACCAATTTCGTGACAATAGAGGACATTTCGACATTTATAAAAAATGAAAGTGTCACGAAATCCGACGAGCACGCTTATCCTAGATCGAATTGCGTAAATAGTTCTCAAACATTTTAGCATCTAAGAGTTTTGATAAAACTCTTCATCTTTAAATCTTAATGCAGATAAATCGATTACACAAATTAATTCAATTTATAATAATAAAATTAACATTAACATTATCATAATACAGTAAAATTAATCCTTTCAGGAGTTAGTTTAATCAATCCCAATTATAATAAATAAAATTAATATCAATTGTTAGAAGCATATTTTATTTGAAATAAATATAAAAAAAAAATAATTATTATAAATTCAATAATTATCTAATACTATAATATCTAATACTATATAATTATCTAAAACAAATATTTCTATCATTTATCAAATGATTCATTATTTTAAATAATAATAATTTTAGAAAATATTTGCATGCCATTATATTTTTTATATTATTTATATATTAATTAATTAAGTTCAAGTTCACATTTTGTATATTATTTATTAATATTTTTGTATGATTATAAAAATTTAATATCATGAAAATTAAATATAGAGCATTATAAAAATGTATTGTAATAAAAATAAAAATAAATATAAAACATTATAAAAATGTATGTAAGAAATACAAACATTTTTTAAATTAATTATTTGAATAAGAATTTATTATTTTTCATTCTATTCCATTAGAAGATATATAAAAATCTTTACAATTTAATCTCGAGATATTATAAGAAAATGGAAACTTCCTGATTGATAACTTGTTATCATCAGCAAACAAATCACGGACAAAATTGATTGAAATCTTGCTGGAATTTTTTAAAAAAAAGAAATATATTCAATATAGTGCATTATAGTGCGTATTTTCATATAATCCGTGAAAACAAAAATCACGATTTAAAATTTTAATTGAGATTCTACTTAATAATTCTATTTAATTATACATGACATCAAAATTTTTTTACTTAGAAAATCGATTAAAGTATTATAATCAAATTATTCGATCAATTTTGTCGAATGCTGAAATTTTTTTACTTTTTACTAAATATAAACATTTAATATAATAATAAACTAGACTGAGGAAAATTTGAAATATTATATATATATTACTTTAAAATACTATTTTATTTAATATTTTAAATATAAATATTACATATATTCATTATTTAAATATTATTTACATTCGGATTCAATGCAAATAAAATATTTATTTTCCATAAAACACAATAAATATCAAATGTTCATTATATATATAAAGTAGATTAAGTTTTTGTATATTATATTATATGTATATAATATTATAATTTCAATATATCGTTATGTAATAATGATTTAAATTAATGATTTCAAATATCATTATTTATCATTACAATATTTATTTTTATTTATCTATTTTTCCCAATTCTAGAATGATGATTTTAAATTTTCAAGTATACACGGTAGATTAATTATTAGTATTGATTCTTCGAGCATTCGAGATTTTTTTGATCGGATATGTAACCGTAGATATTTCTCCACAGCAAGACCTTCGATTTATTCCTTCGAAAGAGAACTGAAAACTGTGTAAAATTCTTACTCTTCTCTCTCTCTCTCTCTCTCTCTCTCTCTCTCTCTCTCT